AGTTAACATTCGACTAAAATAAAATTTTTAATTACGCCGGTGTATTCTTTTATATTTAGACTAGTGACATGTATTGATCGTTCGCGTGGAATCTCTCTATAAATGTTTTCTTCTCCAAGAAAATCGTTAAAAAATGAAGGATCCTCACCGAACTGCGTACAGGAGTTAAAATTCGAAGGGAGCGTTCCAAAGATTATTTTCATCACGTCTGAATTCACAAAATGTAATTATCTCTCGCGGCTACGATGCCCACTCATCAGGGATGCGATAAACAAAAAAAGAATAATACGAGTCCCGTACGATAGACACGGTGCATCGACCGTAAACGAGCCACCACCCACCCCATCCTCTATCCACGTGCTGCAACAAGTACCTACCCGTCTATATAATACCTGTAACTGGACGGGGTTCACGATATACCTATACCTGGGTTGTTTTCCCTGAAATCCACTTTTAACTGGCAATTAAACCGGCTCGTATCGCCCCTACTTTCATTGCTGCTGACGTCAATGGGGATACTCGATGAAAATAACCTTAGCATCTATGGCGGTATTATCGAGAATTTCGTGGAGAACGGTGGCATTCGCGACATTAGGGTAACGGCCCCAAATTTCGCCCACCCCAACGGTTTCTTCGTTTTTGTTCGAAAACTAATCTACATTATAGTCTCGCAAAAGTTGTATAGCCACCTTGAAACCTTAATTACGAAATTGTATTATCACTTTTTCATAAAAATTCATACAAACAAAATGAAAAATGGAAATGCAAGAAGATACATTTGTCACTTTTCAAACAAAGTCTTCCCAATTCCGTCCCCCCTAGTTTTAATGGTTGAACAGCTTCTAGTTGGTTGAAATAAATTTTATAGTTGACTTTTATATATTCACAAAATGATTTATTTATGAAAATATAAAAATAACGTTTTTACCGAGTAAAAATGAAACAAGAACTGAGGAATAAAATTATATGTAGTAATCGCAGAGAAATTTCTTTGTATGAGATTTAGCTGCATACGGTTCATGGAAACATTTGAAGCATCCAGTATATCTAATCCATTTCTTTCTCTGTACGTCGCTCGAAAACTGTTCATATATTATATAAAGCACATGTATCTACGGGACGGAATTAAGACCAGTATAGGGGAGTGAAATTAGGCACAACGTCACTTTTCAATATACTCATCGATTCTGACTTACAAGTGACAAAACGAGATTGCCACTTCACATTATGAAAACAAAAACAATGAACAAAAAAGGCTTGAACGGTGTCTAAAGAAAACAGAACATGATAGAATCATTTACTTTAAATACTGAAATCTGATTTTAAATATAAGTAATCACTACAGTGCACTGCGTGTAAAATAACAAACTGTCAACAACATCACTGGGGAGGTCCTCCTCTGGAATCAATCAAAACAGAGTAAACAGAAGCTAAGCAGAGGTTCGATTTCGGGTAAAAAATAAATTTATGTGGGGCTGAAAACCTTTCCACATTGCCAAGAATGCTCCGAACTGGACTCGAGTACGTCGCACTCATCGAGACATTACTTTCCTCATATTGAAATCGATGAAAGTTCTTGTATATTCTGCCATCTTATTAGAATCATATTTAACACAAGTTTAAACAACCGAATTGGGAGATCTCCCCGGTTTGAAGGTTAATAACACTTAAATAGAGTGGGGGATGGAATTAAAGCACGAGGGCAAAATTCAGGCCTCTTACCCTATAACCAGAGATTTCTTAAAAAATTCGTATTTTTTCTCTGAACAATCTTGCGTCGTTCTTTCCTTCTGTCGCGTTACGATTAATCAAAACATCACCGTTTAACATTGTACGATGATTTTTCGATTAATTACGTCGCAAAACCGCAGCCAAAAACGGAGATGTATCGAACATTCGAGGAACGCAGTCCGAATGATCCACCGATATATTTGTCGCTGTCGATCGTGAAAGGTTCCCGCGAAAATAGCCTGCGATTCGCACACAACTGTTGCTTTCATTGTCCCAGCAACAACGACCGTTCAAGCACAATGAACGATCTCTATTTGGCAAATGAACCCACCGTCGAACGGAAGGAGTGACGCAGAAACGCTGCCACTGTATGCGTGTACGTGTATGTGTCTGCCCACGGCCTTCCGGAAATAAATCGGTCACACTGGCATCACACGAAAAGCATCCACGACTCATTAACCTTCCGCTGGGTCAAGCCACGATCTTTGTTCGCCGTGAACTGTTGATCGTGAGAAAGGTAGCGAAAATAGAGACGCGATTCATTGGTAACGCGTAGCATCCGATATTCATCGAACGTGGATCGTTGAAGCGTCGAACAACGATCGACTGGATACCTTGTATATTTACTCAACTGTGTTTGTACAATTGTTGTCGTTATCGTATGTAAAAAGGACATAATTCATGCAATATATTTCTGAGTTCGTCAGCATGTTTCAGTACTTAAGTGGTTCGGTAAAACAAGATGGCGGCGACGCCGTGTGCTAATTGAATCGTTCAAGTGAAAGCATCTTCTTCGCCGCTTATCCATCCTTATTTTATCTTCTCTGTGTGGTAATGTGTGTGATAATGTGTACTGTTGTTCGCGAGCTTGGAGCATCGTTCAAATGTTTATTTTTCTTATCGTTAACTGCATAAAGAATTTTCTTTAACCCTTTAAAGATAAGGTCTGGGCCCTATCCGACTCAAGTTTTGATTCCTCTTGTGCTGTACCCACTCTATTTTTTATTATTCTTCTATTACTCCCGTTTTCAAATATTTTTTATACGCAACTATTATTCCTTATTATATAAATAAACAAAAATACAAATTCAAGATAGAAACTTTTTTCACCTGCCCGAAAATAGCAAAAACGACTTTAAAACCCACCTTATCATTCGAGGGTTAAGTCTGATTTCTAACAAGATCAATTTCTCGATACAAGATACGAATTTTTGTTTCAGTCTTAGAATACTGCGTGGTATAACTATAAAACGACCCCTAAAAATGTCCATCCATATGCAAATAAAAACGAACCACTTTTTTTCTAGGGAACACAATCTATCCTCTTTTGGAAAAACATTGTTTGTCAACACAATTTCAGGCATACTTGGCTCGTTTTTATTTTACCCATAATAATACACCAGAATGAAAAATTTTGGGGTGTTTGTATAGTTATGCCACGCAGTGTATGATAAGTATCTCAAGTATCTATATTTGCGCAAACATCCACAGTCACCTAACAAGAATATCTCCATCGAAAGAAACGGATTTCTGTTTCGTTCATGTTTTTCGAAATTATCTATAAATATACCCCAGTCCTCTGACATCTGAGGTATTTCTTTTTACTACCTAATAATTCATATCTATCTAATAAGTAATTCCAAGAGAATAGAAATACGTGTACACAGAAATTTTCGTGTATTTTGAGAGAAAGGTGCGCTTTAAACATTTGATTGTGTATACAGTAAGTGCAACGATAATCATGCCTAGGTAATGCGTCTAAGGTACACTAATTAACGACCGATTCTACCACGGGGCTGGAATTCCAAGCGGTGCATTACAGACATATACACGCATGCACGTCTGATTTCGGTCGCGACCGTATTTTTGCCGCGGATGCCGGTGAAGGGATTCTAAATACAGAAGAGAGAAAATGTTCAACGAGAAGGCAACGATTAAAGAGACGCTTGACCAAGGATACGAAATATCGTATGGAAATCGAAATATCGATTAGAATAGATAAGCACGATGATTTTTTCACGATGAAACTCGAGTTTTTTTTCTTCGTGTCATACACGATCTACTTGGATTTAAAGGTTTTCGAAAGTAATATTTTCACGCCTTGAACGCGAATATTCGATCGTGGTTTAGTGATTCTATGACAGGAAAGATAAAATTAAAGAAAAGATGCTTTGACCTTGAAAAAACTCAAGGTCACCTTGATATCTCAAAACAAATAAAATTGAAAAAAATCAAATTGTATCCATCCGATGCGACCCTTAAAATGCTACATGATTCATTAAAACGTTTTCTGATACAACCAATATGTAACGAATTATTATAGATAGTAGTTCTTACAGACTCACCCTGTATATTAAACACATACTAAAGTTTTAAGATGACGTCAAAAAATAAGAAAAATAAAAAGAATCGAGAAGGTCGTGATTTGTTTTACTGAGTTTTATACAGCTATTAATTCTCTATCAGAATATACGTTAAACACGTACGAAAGTTTTAAGATGACGCTAAAAAATAAGAAAAATAAAAAGAATCGAAAAGGTCGTGACGTTTTTTACTGAGTTTTATACAGCTATTAATTCTCTATCAGAATATACGTTAAACACGTACGAAAGTTTTCAGTTGACGTTAACAAAATAATAAAAATAAAACAAATCGGAAAGGTGGTATTTTTTTGTCCGCCACTGTGTGTTTTGCCTCTTTCACATCAAGAAAACGATATATATATATATCGATATATATCTATACCAAAACAGAGAATTACACCAAAATTCCGTTATCACGGACAAGTATGGATTTACAAAGGTGTATGAACAAAAATACACGCATATAAACAGAATTCTACCATTCAAAGAAGATTGCAGCTTCATTCCAACGGCCGTGCCAGTTAATTTCCGATCGATGGACACAGTGGACGGATCCATTGTCCCGCCAGTCAACGATCAGGATTTCCTCCATCACACATTGCCCAACGAGTCGTTACCCGATCGATCGTTTGATCGGGCATCGAGGCGGCGAAAATCGATCGGGAATCCAGCTGACACGATTAACAACAATAACAACAACTACAACACAACAAACGACACAGAGTGGAGTGGTCAGGACGACATCACGTGACAACGGTGTGCGTCGTTTAGAGATCTGAAAACGATCGTAGGGGGTGGGTGTGTGCGTTGGGAAATGTGCATCACTCAACAACCGAGCAAAATATTAGGGTGCCTATGGTGAACGATCATTTTGGAGGTGGGGGGATAGAGGGATAGTCTCGGTACCTCAGGGTCCTGGATCTGCTCCGAATCCGCAGACGTGCTCGACGTCTTCAGGATGCTGTACAGCTTTACGTAGGGGGCCTTGATCAGCTGTTAGCCAATACAATCGGCCGTTTTTAGCGATTTAGTCACTGGCTGGGTCTCCCCCACTCGACTCGATCCTCGTGTCGATCTTTTTTTTCGTAAAAAGCTTACCCCATTTCTGGGGGATTTAACCTCTTAATTCGTGTCAGAGATGAATAATCCGATAATTATTAACTTTGTAAACACTTTTAATAATTCATTACGTGTTACGTAATTTTTGCGTTACTGTTTCGGATATAGGGCGCCACTTAGTGTCGATTGACGGTAAACTCAAACGCCTGGAGCTTCCGAAAGTCTCCGCCAGGTGGCGATAGTGAAACGGAAAAATTCAAATTCGTTTCTTCTAATTCGCGCGGATGGGGACAGAGCGTGCAATTGTGCAATAAGTGTTCGGCGATGGCTCGTGCCTTAATTTCTTTTTTAATAAATAAAATAAGAACCAAATTCGTCTCTAAGCCGAGTGGTTTCTACTGAAGGGTTAATCGAGGAATATTTCTGGCGAATGATCTCTTTCTTTGTACTAGGTATCTCTGACGAAAACTGACCTCTGTTTAACGATCTTCTTTTTTACCTGTCTGTTAGTTACACAAAACGAAGAAGTTCCAAAGATGATAATACGTTACGCTCGATATTCGCAGGTTTTTGGAGACCACGTTTTCAAGATCGTTCCCGTAACAGGCTTTTGTTCCGTCGACACGAGGATCGAGGGGGTGACGGGGCAACTACCTATATCTTCTATTCGTTTGAAAATTGAAAAATCCGTCGGCCTTGAAAAAACAGAAGCTTCGAGATCGAAGAAACGATGCGCACGCGGAATGAGTATATGCTCGAGTAGCGTGGTGCAATGAGAAAAGCGGTGCTTGGCAACGAACTCGATGAGAAAACGGAAAAGAAGGAACGCAAAAAGTGGGGTGGATGCGTGAACCGCGTTGTCGCGAGAGCTCGAGAAATAAAATTGTTCGTAGTGCGTGATCTCGGAGAGCAGAGAGCTCTGAGCTGAACGACGTAACCTTCGTACGATATTGATCGAAATATGAGAACTCAATAATCGTGCGATGCCATGAATTATGAGTAACTGATCGAGTATTGGCGGTGCATTAACACGCCGAAGAATTACAATGGAGTCTCGAACTGGAAATTTCAGCGAAACAAACACTTTTATTACACTATGTATGAGCGAGTGAGTGTGTGTGTGTAAGGAAAATATTAAAATGGTTTATAGTAAATGGAACTAAACTTTGTGTTAAGTGGGTGGGAAAGAAATAGATTACCATTCGCACCGTTAGTGTTTTTCATGAAGATTGTGGCTAATCATGTTCGAAGTGATTCGAATTTTCCGCCAAATTCGTACATTCGAAGCGATTAACGAAATATTTCAAATATTAGTTAGACCTGTTCAGAGTTTTCTAGTGGTACCAAAATCAGGGTTAATCGATTATCCCCACGATTAGAGTATCGAAATGACTATCGAAAATAAGGTTCTCGACTCTTCAGCGTGTTAATGGCGAACGATTCGATGGTAAATGGATGCCTGGATGATGGACACGATTACAGGGATGCGCATTGAAATGTAAGACTCACCTCCCACGATTCCCTGGTCAGGTCGGAGATCTCGTCGCCATCTTGGTTGCGATCCTTCCCATCTTCCGCGGACTCGCCTGCCTCGTGGGGCGACAATTCGGGCGACAGGTCCGTGTCGGTGTCCGACAGGATGTAGCCCCGTTCCCTCCAGTAATTCTCGTCGAGCTCTCCATAAAGCGACGGCACCCACGCATGGATGAACCTGTAGAGGTCGTCGACCCTGCGAGCAAACAAGGGCAAATATGCATGTTAATCGACCGCGTGGGAAATTCATTGAACACGTTTGCAGCCCATTACGGATAGGAACTGTACATCCCAACATGGGCGAATCTCGCGGCGGCTTGGAAACTGTAGTGCCTAGGCCTTTTCAACCAAATGGCCGCCTTTGGGCATTATGGACGGGATTTATACACCCCCGGTCAAAAGTATGTGGACACCTTTCAAAACGAAACAACGTTTTTAAAATTGATCCAAATGACTGAAGTTCTTTTGTAAAGTTGGGGATATTAGTTTACTAAATGACGTGTAAAAAAAATTGAAAAAGTTGCAATTGGTCGAAATCGCGAAGAAAATAGTAAAGTTAAAAAACAAATTTTATAACTTTGCTATATAACTTGTTGTGCTGTATAGTGTAGACGCAGCTTTAGATCGTAACCTGTGAAGTTTGAACAGTTCAGGAGATTAAATAGTCGTTTGCCAAGTATCTATCCATAATAGAAGAAATATTATGTTATTATAGAAAGTGGAATATCCACGTTGAATTATTTTTTTTTATATTTTAGTCGAAACTCTTTGTCCAGATAATGAATTTTCCCATCCCTCCCCTGTACACAATTTTGTCAGGATGTGTACCTTTGATGAACGAACGGCAGCAAGTGACCAACGGCAGGCGACACATGTCGGCTGTAAACGAAATTCACCGCGTTCCCGACTGTGTTCAATGTCCAATTCATGGTTCGTAGTGGTGACAACGTCGTTCTTCAGGTGTCGATATCTGTCTGTCTCTTCAATTGCAACGTGCGCACGCGCACACACAAATCGGCTCTGGACTTTCTCTATCTCGAGCGCCCCCCGCGTGTGCCGACGACTCTTGCAAGGACGTTTCCTAGTTCCCAGGCCCGAACACGGTGTGTCCACCGGTTTAATCTTTTCACTCTAAAGGTACGGTTTCACGTGACGGTAAATCGTGTCTCTGACGGCAGTGACACTAAAGGTACGTTTTCATGTGACAGTAAATTGTGCCTCTACGGTCATAAAGGTACGTTTTCACGTGACAGTAAATTGTGCCTCTACGGTCATAAAGGCACGTTTTCACGTGACAGTAAATTGTGACTTTTACGGTCATGACATTAAAGGTACGTTTCCACGTGACAGTAAATTGTGTCTTTTACGATAATAACACTAAAGGTACATTCCACGTGACAGTAAAGCATGTCTTTTTACGGTAATAACACTAAAGGTTCGTTTCCACGTGACAGTAAATTGTGATTTTTACCAGCATGACACTAAATGTACGTTTTCACATGACAGTAAAAGTGATGACTTTCGTTGTCGTGACATTGTGTGACAGTGGAAATCAATGTCACGACAACGCAACATCTAGTTTTCACGACGACAAAGATCATGACCGTAAAAGTCAGAATTTATTATAATGTGACAACGTACCTTAGTGGCCGCTGAACGGACACATGCGTACGAAACTACGCGACGTTATTTTTATTCCGTTCCGAGCTGCAACCACCGGGCGATAACCAAAAATAAATCGGGAATGAGGAATTAAAATTCCTGCGCGATTTCTCTCTGTTTTTTTAAGTTGGTCGAGGGACCTTGGAATAGTATTTATAGACCGTCGCGGAGTTTGTCGAAATTCAGATTCTTTCGAGGGGCTTAGTTTGTGTACAAGGGCATTTATTATTAGACCGTGAATTTTCTTTATTTTGTCGCGAGCATCTGGCAAAATAATAATTTTGATCGTTCCATTTTATCACAAGTCCTCATAAGAGGAAGAGGGAGCTATCTATTAGGTCTATTAGGTTGTTGCACATGAAATGATCGGCTTATTAATTATCGGTGTATTACTATTAGGTCGTTAACTAAGTTTTGTGGATTATTCATAAGTGGTGCTAGGATATATTGAGTTTAGATTTCACGCAGATTTTTTTGTTTTTAAAAAATTTCTGTTATAACAAAATACGTCGACAAGTTTAATGTTGTAGCCAAAAAACATTTGTTTATTTCGACGTGAAATGACAGCTGACAAAGGGAGGAAAAAGGAAAGAAAACCTTAAGGTGACCTTAAAAACAAAACATTCGAAGTATTTCGAATATTTAATAGAATAAGGTGATATTACTATTCTAGTTATATTGCTTTTATTATACATTTTGCAAAATGAAACCCATTTTTCGTCTTTAAAGTCACTACAAGGTCATGGTATGTAGGTCGTTGAAGTTGTCCTGACGCTGACTACAACATCGCGTTATAAAAAACGGATGTTAATATGCAAAAAAAAAACGATGACCTTGAAAAAACCGTTAAAATAATCTTTGCAAGATGCACCAAGAGTTGCACACCTTGAAATCATTTACATCCTATTTAGTCATTTTATCTTATCTTCAAAAGTAGCGGAAACAATTTAGATGCTGGATTTAAAATTAACATCACTAAATTGCCCATATCATGTGCAACGGCTCAATATCTCGACAGTCTTCTAGTCGGTAGTCATTTATATTAGTCACGATAAGAACAGGTATTTCTCAAAGGAATTACGGTACAACATGGATTTCGAAGGAATAATTAAATAAATGTCTAAACTGGCCCAGGCTCCGCTGTCTCGATCGCCATGCAAAATCGTTAACGCGATAAGCAAACTTGAAATTTTTATTCAGTGATATCTAATCGATCAACTGAGGATTAATCAGAAATAAAATAAGAATTGTGTTTTACGAATTCACGTGTCCAATAAACGTACGAAGGAGTCCACATAGAAATTTTCCGTGTTTCGAGCCGATACGATAATATGAATTTCCATAAATGCTGACAACCTACTTATCACCATTGACAAATTGTTCGAGATAAAGGAAAGAACATAATTTGGATAATAATTCACAACCTAATGAACGATATCAAGGAGAATAGATTCCTGGACGAAGACACACACCAAAATAGACTGACGTAATACAGAAGAATTATAGCGTGGCACTTGTTAGAATAGTAACGGTTCACCGGTACGAATTAGCGAAATGAGTCACGGAGAAACTGTCTACAGCTACGGCGATTACCTGAGCTGACGCAAGTGCTTATTGCGACACGACACGACAAGTGCAAATTTAAGCCGAATTTTCACGGTCGAACTTGCACTCTTCCTTCTGCGTATAAAAGGTGATAAAAAAAAACATGAAAGAATCTAAGAATTTAGTGGCTCATAGTACTCACCTGGAGGTAAATGTCCAATCAATATCTGGACCCCGGAGCCAGACTGCATTAAGTCTATTTTTGTTTAAAAACAACATTGTACGTGTTTCCCAGATCAAATTTTTCACTCCTTCTGACAGTAAAAATTATTTCGTTCCAAGCAGTTTAGTTTATAATATAATAGTGTAAAAATTGTATTAAGTCCATATTTTATTCCGAGTCAAACAATGTAAAGTCCATCATATAGGGGATTTAATGCAATGTTCACCATTTATAAATTGTCTTAAGTCCATTCAATGGTTCGAAGGTAGCGACTCTTTCTCTTTGAATTCTTAATGAAGAGTTCCAAAGTTGCAGGGTTTTTACAGCGTTGATTTGCTCTCCTCTAAAATTTGGTAAGTGTGACTTAATATACTCTGGTTCTGGGGTCTAGATATAGGTCCTGATATCAATCCCTCTGGTGTAAAATTAACTTTTATGTTTACGACCGTTCGATATCGGAGTTACAATTAAATGGTAGCCATTTTCTTCCGTTGATAGATATATTGCTTAATTTTTCAGAAATTACTAAGGAAATAACATATAATAAGATGTATATGTTCAATTTTTAATAAACAATAATTCTGCATATACAATTTTTTTTTTAATTTTCACCCTTATTTAACAGCTTAAAGGTATGTAACTCCATAAACCAAAAATGAGTTTTCGCGATCAAAATATGGCCTCTTGGACTTTTTCCATTACAAAAACGAACGATCTGTTCAGCGACCTTGCATATTGCGTATAAAAATGTCTTATCTGTTGCGGCAGCACTTGCTATGCGTCAGCTATCTTATTATCATGTGGTCGCTATCAGAAACACGTTGATTCTCTGTTTTCTTCTTGTCATCATTCATCGTGCAAAAAGCTGCGCATATAATAGTATAAATAACAAGTTGTACCAGGAAACTAACGTTATCACTTTGGACAATAGAAAACCGTCGTAATAATAACGTGTTTAATTGCACGTAACATTGGGAATCACCTTCGGGAGATTCTAGTATTGAAATGACTAATAAGACTCGGATTAAATCTGAATGTCGGGCGAAGATTCAATTACCGTTCCTAAGCAGAGGAAATCTTCGATGACTAGATTTGATGAATAGATTCTGTTTATTTAAACAGTCTATTTACAAATAGATGAAAAAAGTTCGACATAACAAATTTTTAAGACCGAATGTTGAGTGAGATGTTTAGCATTCAAAGAAGACATGTCCAATTTTTGAACGATTTATTCACATAAATCTAGATTAAACTGAATTCTGACACTTCTATTGCTAGTCAGAATGCACCCTGACGCTTAAAAGTGTTCACAGTTACGTATCTGTTCAACTCGAGTATCGGTAAGTCAAGCGACACAATATTAAATTTTGTTTAAAAGGAACTACACTCTCTATGAATAGAAAGACCCAGTTGCACGATATAACTTTAATGACGAAACAACGAATTGTCTGAACTTCTGATCTGGAGCATCTGCTGCGTCAGCAACATTCTATTCGATGCATCGTTCAGGGACGGCGAGAAAACACGCGTCTGTGCTAAAGAAGATTAATAGCGGGAAGTTTTTTTCTATCCACTGATATCACGATACGACACGAGAATACATGAACAGACGAAATGTTTTCTCTGAATCATTCGAACAATCCTGGTACCCCGTTTACGGGAACCAACAGTTTAAATACAGTGGCAGAAATAGTTCCGTTCAACAAAGGATTTCAACTGAAAACATTTGTATCAACAAGATCACTGCGTGTTTCCAACGTGGATTTCTCTACTGACATTGTGCAGACATACGAAACCCAGCAAGCGGTTGGCGCATTTTCCACGCCTTGCGTCAGATCGCCTCGCGCGATAGTCCCGCGAGACGCACCGAACGCATTAAATCGAATCACGTTTGTATACGTGCATACATTACCGCTCATGAATACTTGTCCATCCACATTCGATTTACATCACTAAAAAAATGTGACAAATTTAACGAAAGAATTTCCTACGGAACAAAGGCCGCTAACCAAGCAACTTGCACGAGCAAGTATCGAGACTTTCCAAAGTAGAAGTCAAAACGCGCTGAATTTATCAAAAGAATCAATTTCCTTCGCAACAGGGGTCGTAAACTAAGTAACTTACGCGATCACTTATCGAGACTTCCCAAAGTGGAAGTCAATACGCACTAAATTCGTCAAAAGAATCTATTTCCTTCTGAGCAGGGACTATTTAACCAAGCAACTTGCACGATCACTTATCGAGACTTCCTAAAGTGATACTTCAACTAAAGAAAGAATAAGTCGTTCTTCGATCATAGCCCAAACACAACCTGTGCCCATAATTTCCTATTCGAGTGTGCTCGAAGGCTACACAACAAGCAACAGGGCTTTTCATTCGCGAAAACATTCGACCTACACGATAAGCGCCCCTTCCCTCGCCCTATTCCCAGACACTATCCCACGCGGGGTATACCATATTCAGATCCTTTCTCCTCGTTGTCCTCCTGATAACGAGGTCCCTGACGATCTTGACGGCGAGACAACGAGCGGAGCCAATAAGAGAAGCCAGTGGGCGATCAGTAAACTGCGGATTTTATGCATTTATAGCGCTATCACTGTTTAACTCTAAAAACACAAAACTATTTAATAAACTTTGATCATATATTTGTTATATTTGGAACCTAATAATCCTTAATAAAGTAAAGGAATTTCTGTTTGATGCCAGTCTTTGTAAAATAGACAATAAAAATTTATATTTGCATAAAAATCCGCAGTCTAGCAATCAGACAAGGGGGTCTTGGGTGACGGAGGCGCAGCCGTGGCCGGTGCCAAGTCGCGCGCGCGTTACCTAATCACGGGCACACACACCGTCACGAATCTTTCGACGTTTCCTCGCGCACCTTGCCACAAGTGTGCCCTATGATTACTAGCGTTCGATTCCGTGGAACGACTATTTATACTCGTGTTACTATTTCGTACCGTGTCTGACACCCGCGACCGTGTACACTGAATAATTAAGGGGAGAGGGGGCGATCACGATTTCGTCGGGCGTGTGTACGGGGACTCAGGTGTGCGCTCCCGTCGCGTGTTCTTACCGCGTTCGGACTAAATAACGTACGTGGGCGCGGAATGGAAGAGTCCCGAGTGAAGCACGTCCCGATTATACGCGGCGGAGCGACTTGGCGGCTGTCACGTGACGTGGACTATCGTCGTGCGTTCACAATGTATATGAAACGTTGAAACGTTACCGCGTGTCAGGAATCCGAACGGTATAGGTCCTGCAACCGATTACAGGGATGTGAAATTCAATCGGGAGCAACGTTGCCAGGGGAACCCGTGGGGACAAGGTAGGGATGTTCGATTTCGATTCGATTTTTGAAAAATCGATTTTTTGAATGGATTCTTTGCTATTCGATTTTTGCGTAGTAAATTTCCGTGACTGTACAAATAAATAAGAATCTAAAAATACAAGTCATCGTACAAATATGGTGACGGATGAAAGTTTCCTGTGTTAGTGCTAATCAGAACATTTAAAAAGGCCCTGAACATCTTCTGGGATTTTTCAACGCTATTGTTTCACGTTTGTACATTCGAACTCGTCCGTAATTCCGAGAAAATGAGAAGAAAAAAGGGACTGAAAGGATCGTCTCGGTGTAACTCTACTTTTTTTTTAACGTGTATTTGTTGACTCACCTGTTGCGGGGCACGCTGAACCAGTATTCAGGTCGCAGCTTCTTCTTCCCATAGCTCATAATAGGTGTCGAACGTGGAATTTTCTTGTCCTTCGGCCTCCCGGTTCGCAGTCTCAGGTACAATGGCGGATCCTCGCAGGAACGGGCTGGTCGCGGTATAAGCTCTATATAATCGAACAGAACAACACAATATAATACACGCTCACCACCTCCGATTCGTGTTTCTTTTCCTCTCTTATCTTACATACGACTTGATACATCCGAAAGTGACTTCAGTACACACAGTACTTCAACGTATTATCAATTAAATCAAAATTTTCATTCATTATAATATTTACACTCTCAAGACAAACACCACCTCGTGTGATATGCGCATAATCGATCACCGAAAAAGAAACAAAAAAAAAAAAAAAGAAACAGGTGAAAAACCATAGTTAAGAAGCTTTTTCTGGAGAGTACCTCGAAGTACAAGCGTTACATTCGGTATTGTTACTTGAAAGAGTTCATCACCACGGACGTACAAACACAAAGACAGTACAAAGGTGTAATGTGCCGTGTGTAATTGGGATTGGAGAACAGAGGAAGCTTAATATCGCCTCTCGATTTTTTTTCTCAGCATTCTGAACATTAGGTTCGCTAGTTCCAATCACGGAAAATTATCACATCCTATCCTTTCGAGGAAAGATACGTAATTTCGACCAATAGGATGTAGGGGGCGTGACTTAAGGCAGAGCAAAGATTGCCAGCGCCCCTCTGTGCCTACGACCAGATATAATAATTATATTTTTTTTCTTTTTTACAATAGAAAAGAATGAAAAATATTGAATTATACATCGTTTTAAGCTCAGATTCTCAAGAATTAGATATTCCAGTACTCAACTTCAATTATCGTCTAACTGAAAAGGAACCAGCGATCGAGTTAAATTGCTCGTGTTTAAATATCTGGACTCCGAAGCCAGTGGGGGGGGGGGGGGGGGGGGGGGTATTAACAACAGACACACTTCATTTTGTTTTTAAAGTCATAAATCGTTGATATGGGTTTTGTTAATAGAGGCTGTTGGTCGTGTTTCAAATTATACTGCAATATTAATTACACAAAAATTTTGTCACTCTAGGAAGCGAGGGGGCGGGGAAATTCAATTTTTGTCCTATAGGGTGGGGCAAAAGCCTCTTTTTTCCGTCCAGGGGGCGGGGCAAAAGGTCTGAAGTCCAGATATATACTCGTGCTGATACGAAAAAGAAGTGGAAACGAGCGTTTACTGTTCTCCGAATCCCAATTTCACCTCGTGCACCGCACGAGACAGCATCGTCGCGGAAGGTACACGGTACGAACGGTGTATAATAATCAGGTGGCAATCGTGTCGCGGCGAGTGCTAAAAAGACGGTCGATGACCAGAAGAGTCAACAGCGCAGGTATATACCAATACAAATACGCAGGTAAAGTATACAGTGTGCGGGGGTGCAACGGCAAAAATCGAGCACATAGTACAGGCGGAAACGTATAATTGGATGTAGTTCGATCGATGACAAAACGAACAGAAATAAACGATCACAAAAGTAGCTAAGGGGGGATGGGGGCAGGGTTTGGAGTGAATGACAATGGCGAGCTAGCTTGGTTAGGTGATACGTGGGGTAGGGAAGAGAAAAGCAAGCTAATACAGTATGAACCTACCGAGGCCTTCGAGTTCGGGAAAATTAGGTGCTTGGACTAGAGGGACAACAAAAACATATGACATTACTGCATTAGTATGAATAATCGTCGGCAGACTGTCGTCGAAACCCCTCGAGCTCTCATCCCGATTATCGATGAATTATTAAATCATTAACGGATCGATTATTAAATAGCTCGATATATCGACCGAATATTTGAGTGAAAAACGAATCTCGAGGAATGCTTGTCGAGATAAATTGTAAAGTTGAACGAGAGGTGCGCGAAGGGTTTCGAAATCCTGGAGATACAATAATGTCTCTCCTTAACTTAACGACAATGAGATTAATAACCCGAAGAGTTCTGGGCCTGGACACGCGCCACGTGTCCGTGAACACCAGCGTTTGTCCAGGTCGAGAAGATCGTGACAAAAAGTAGCTCTTCCCCGGATCCGTGTCCAGCGAATTCAAAATGGTCAGGACTAATTGCTGATTTCATTGTTAAAAGACAGAACGAAATATGCACACGTGGGCACGAATCCGTTGAACAGCATGGATAAACGTAATGAGAGATTAAATACGGCAATGATGTAGAACTAGTACTGACTATACTGCGGATGTTTACTGGAATTCAGATTCCTTGTAAATTGTTCCACAAAAAAAAAAAAAAGATTCGAACTGAAATTTATTTCATCGACTCCAAATGATATCATTATGTTCGGTGTATCCTCACGAGCAAACTTGGCTACCGCTAGGGGAAAAAGTAGCGTAGGGGAAAGACCTCGTACCACTTGGTCTCGAGAATTACTGAAATTTATGGCAAATTAATATTAGGTTTAACATTCATTTCAGTACTTGAAATAAATTTACCAAGTGCAGGCTCTTTTTCTGCGTCAGTTTTTTCTCTAGCCGAAGCCGAGTTTGCTCGCAAGGGTACACAAAAGTAATGACTAGACTGCGGATTTTATAAATTTATAACCTATATGAGTCTATAAAATACAACAAAGAAGAAAGCTTTCATCAGATCCAATAAGTTTTCTAGTTTATTCTGAACCCAGTCTGACCCTTAAGAAAAAAAAGAAATTCCTACATTTGCTCTTCTCTGTATGAATTGCCTTAGAAAATATTATTTTGCGTAAAAATCGCCAGTCTAGAAATGACAAAAGCAAAATTTCGTTTTATTTTATGTATCCACAAAAATGAATGGTAAGAAAAAATTTTTGAGAGCCATTACTATCTCGGTTGTCTAAAATAGCGGAGGAATTTCCGAATAACATAAAAAAATATATATATTAAACCTTCATCACGGTTTTCATTTTATCGTACGTGATCTGTTTGTAATTCATAGAATGAATGCACAAGATCCTCAGTCTAGTTTGCGAATCGATGAAATCCGCAGTGTAGTAATGACAAACGAGCGGAGTTTGAAAATATAGAAAATATCGAGACTACGTTAAACGTGTAGTAAAAAAAAACGCAAGCGCATTTGGTCACTTATTCATTGGAATTCTGTTTTGATTAAACACGAGATTGTCAAAGATTTCGTTTTTTGAGTATACGCGATCGAATCCAAAGGCGCTCGAATATTCGTAGAGAGGGACGATAAATGCACTAGCAAAGTAACAGATCGTTTAAGAAGCCGTCTATACATACGAGCGAGTGCAGTGCGTAAATATGTAATTATCCCGTTTGCCATCTTTATTGCCATTTCGTTTATATGTATATATATTGTATATGTATTTGTCGTTACGTGTAATTAATCATAGTATAATATCGATCCCTCCGTGGCGAACACCCGTTACCACGTTGGCGTGTCTCATGTATACTGGATGATCATCGAGTGAGGACTAATATTTTTGAAAAATTAATATTCAAATTATCCTCAATTCTTAGGCAATTCTTCATCATACAGAAACAAGTTAGCTTCAGAAACTCTTTAATAATAATTGAACTTCACGTGAATGCGATTTAAGACTTTTTTCTCGAACGTGGTTCATTATTTTTCGATCACCCTGTAGGTCTGACCTTTCGTTGGCACATTAGTTTCTGGAACTAGTTTGTGACTGCGGAATAAATTTACTCCGACCGAATGTGATAACGATTTCATGCACAGAAAATACGCCATTTAAAAAATGTTCAATATACAGGGTGTTCCGAGTTTTTTATTTGTAAATGGCTGCATCTTGGTGGTGATGTTGAACCGAGAAAATCGAGTAAATGAAATCATCGATGTTCGATCATTTGTCGAGACTTGCTGCTAATTTGCTTTACCATTTTTTCAGCTAACGTTGCCTGCAAAACCCAAGCCAAATGCGGAAACAGATGGCTATGATTTTTTAGACAACTTTTGTAATTATTTGCTGGCAATTTGCTCGAAATTTGTACACCACAGATTATCAAGATACTTCATAAACCACCCAGTTCCACCATACAATATCTACCTCCAAACAAAACATTTCTCCTCACATATATTAATCATTTAATACATTTATTTAAATCGCCCAGACGTTCAAGACTCTCAAAAGACTGTCTAAATCTTCATTACCGTTTACTCGGTCAACATTACCAAGGATAGATACCAGTTACTCCCACCAAAACTTGTCCACCCTGTACTAAGGAAGCTTATAGTAGTTAAAAAAAAAAGTAAATGGGAGCCTGTACGTATCCACGATTACTTATTCAATCATTCTGGATACGCTGAGCCTTAAATACGTTTGCTCGTAACAAGACTAAAGTGTAGAGGCACACTTACTGTCGAAACTGACGAACAGCTCGGGCATGTCCTCGACGGAGACCATGCTACGGTAGTCTAACCGAGGAGCGTTGGTCGAGGTTTTGCTACCCCGGCTGCTGTCGACGCTGCTGCTGCCAGACGACGTTAACGGTTGCTGTCTGATGAACGTGCCCACGGAGGACCGTCTGAAAGGAAATCGTAATCAGAAAGTTAGTGGTCGTCTCGGTTAAGCATTGGGTGGCGCGCTCGAAATTACGGTCACACTCCGTCCCGGGAGTCCCCGTAATTTCGCAGCGTCGAACGTGTTTGTAACACACAAGTAAACGAACATCGAACTCGGTAAGGTGGGAAAGAGGGAGATAAACATTCAAGAAGGTTAAACTCCGTATCCAACGTATTGCACGGAGAAAATAAATTTTCTGGGGGTGGCTGTTCCAGGGGTTAGATTGGGGCGTGGGATTATTGTACTATAAGACGCTGTGTATAGATATCTGGTGGTGATGTGTTGTTTTTGTAAGCGGTACAATATACATATATGTATACATTGGCAGTATGTGTCACGAGGTCGGTAGTGGTGGCAGAGTTTCTGAAAAAGTAAGTAACGTTTACCTGAAAGCAGGAGCAAAGAGGGCCGACCTGAAGCCCGTGAGTGGCTCAAACAAAGATAAGGGTGGATAAGCGAAATAAGGGGTGAGTGTGAAGCTTTTTAAATAGAAATCAATCGTCGTGGAATATCGAGGACAGTCTACGGAAACATGATCAGCCTGGAGATGGAGGAAATTTGAATGTATACTTGAACGTGTAGGACGATATATAGAGGTAGTCAACCCAGAGGAGCTACGAACGGAAGAGCTCATGTCGTCAGTTATTATCCTTGGGCCAAGGATAATCTTCAGTGTTTCAAAAATTTTCATAATTGGAAAAGGGTTTTGAAATTCGTTGTGCTTTCCACAAGTCCAAGACGAGGAGTTTGGTCCCTATTGTCCTGATCCTTTTAACTGACTACTGGATCCAAGACTCTACAGATCTTTTGGGTTTACTAATAAATTATATCGTTACCTACACGTATAAGTTACAGACAGGAGTACATAGCACAAAGAAACTAGAGTGCTAATTGAACATTATTAAACGATAAATACGGAGAGCCAATCAGAGATAAACAGTGGAAGAATAGCGGGATTCGACAGAAGAGGAGGCGGAGAACAGTGGATACAACAATTTGCTGGTTGATGGTACCGGGCCCAAACTCACCCCATAAGCCCTCCTGGACCAGGTGAATACTGAGGATTGCCGGAGTCCTGGGAGATAGAGGAGGCGGTAAGAGGAGGTGTCCCTCCAGCCCTACCGCCCCCACCACTCTCTTCGCTGGGAGTTTTAGCAAAGAGGCCCGAGCTAAAGTCACTCACCAGGTTGATCGGCGAGCTTATATCCACCACCATTACATATTCTTTGTTAGTTACATTAGAAACGACAGTAAAGCTTTTAATTAAACACACAGATGTACCATCACAGTCGGACAAAACCGTACCCTCTGTTACCTCAGTTCAATGCGTCACATTCAGTGGGTGTTTCATAAGATATTGATACAGTAATTTCAGCGCTGTACTCAACAGATGAGAATAATTGTACACGTTCCTGTGTAAATTAGTCCTATCTAATCCTGCTTCTGAATTAAACAGTTAATTTTTGTAGGAATAGTTCTGCTACTCCCTTCACGTGTATGGAAATATTCTATGAATTATGTTAACATTTTATGAACCACCTTGTATAGAAGAGTAGTACTTTATATAAATACTTTCAACGACAGAACAGACTATGATGGTATTACGTTAGTGAGGACAACTTCTGAACTTCACTGGATGTCTTGAATTCCCTGGATCGTTTACTTCTTCCATGAATAGAAAAAAAAAATAAAAGAAGAGTAATATCACGTCTATCGCAAATGCAATAAGCCACTCGTTTCTAGGCGCAAGTAACTAATGAATATTCTATGTGTCGTAACCAATGAGGACATTCATAATAAAACACGTTTTTCGAGTCGGTAAAATTATTAGTACCTTGTAAAAAATATTAAAAAAGAAAATGTGTAATGTATGCGACTAGTTTCATTATGAACAGCCTCTGATAACGTATCTATTACAAATGTTCTAGAAAGATTCAGCAGAAAGCGGTCGCACACGTGTTAAATAAATTAAAACGTTACACCATGTACATGATCCTCTGTACATAAGATATGCAAAAATCTTGTTTCGAACGATCGTTACTCATTCTTGACACACACGAATGGAAAAAGTGAAATATAGAAGCGTATTATTAATCTGAGGAAAATGTTAGTACCCATGTAAATAGATTAATTATTAGAAGAAAAATGTTAGTAAAGACTCTATGGTTTGAAGGTAGCGGAGAGTATCACCTTGAGAAGACTTTACTGAAGACAGAAGAATGATGAGAGTCCGCGCTGTTAGGGAGACTTGCAACCTTATCAGATCCAGACTTATTTTCATCCTCTTTCTCACCAGTTAATCCTTCCATCCACGACAATGGATATGATAATCTTTTTAACATCTACGACAGAAAAAAAGTTCCAATAATTATGATATTGTTTAAATAAGAATCTAATTATGAAGAAGCTTTCGTTAAAGGAAAACGTTAGGAAGTGACTTCATAAGTGACGTAATCCTAGTAACACGAATCACTGAAAGGCACAAGAAGTGCCGATTCTGTTAGTACCTTATTCCTACGAGTCTCTTGTTTGTCGTCGTCCTTATGCTCTTCATCTTTCTCGGGTTCCTCCACATTACTGTCTAAGCTAAATGATACCGAACTCGCCTTTTTCCTGCCATTAATGACAGATCCAGTGTCTAGCGAATCCGTGGTAACGTTTGTTGGGGCAATAGTAATAGGAGGGACCCAATCTGAAGATAAGACAATATCTGCGTCTGAGTATACTTTTTTTGAGGGGATGGGCTGAACTACTGGGAAAGGGGGATTAGGGTCACGAATGTCGATACCCGAATCGTGGCATGACAATTTGACTAGAGATCCTTCTTCGTCTTCGGCATTCGGCTTCGATTTCGCAGGGTCGGTCTACGAATAAATAAAATTAATTAATATACCATTCGTTGGGTAATAAGAATCATATTAATTTGTACAATAATCAAGCAACCAACCTTGTCAGAACTTAATGAATCCTGTTGCTCGTCTTCTACAGATACTGTACATCGATCCTTACTAGGAACTGCCCAATGATGATCAAGCATAGAACGTCTGCGTTCCTCTACTGTTCTACTTGCTTGATCACCACTACAGGCGTCTTTAGTGTCTTTCTCTTTGTCTTCGTCTTTCTCTTTGGTTGTCGCATTCTCTTCCTGTAGCATAAATAAAACAGTTTGTTTCATTACAAATGTTACATCTGAATACAACGAAGAGTAAAACAAACATATGCTTATAAGTAACATACATTTTGAAGATTGGTAGGGGTGACAAGATCTCTCTCAAAGGCCTTAGGAAAAGCGTCTCCATCTCTTTCAGCACAGCTACATACACTCTCGTTATCGTCTGTCGTTAATTCCGGAAAATTATCGTCCTTTCCTGGCGATTGACATTTGTCATTTTGATTGGGCTTCTTCATATAATAAATTTCTGGCTTTTTGTCTAAGTGTCCAGACTCTCTGTGTGAAACACGCATATGCGCAATATCGTAATAGATTGCAGCATTTACTATGAACTCCATCGGTGCAATAACTCCGTAAGATTCAGCTCCATGTTCAATGACAAGTCGATCCGAGACATTGGGGTCAAACATCACTGCATTTGGTGTGACTAATAATACTCCACCAACAACACCCTGTACAGAAACAATGAAATTAATCAATCAAGACTCGATCAAATGTGGATTCATATGTGAATTAACAGAATGTTCATATAAGAACACTAGTTCTAGTAACAATAACAATCAATGACAGACAATGTAAATGTGAGCTATTTGAAGTACCTTACCTGACCATCTGTGATATGGCGAACATCAATTTTCAAAAATCTTTCCTTAAATGGTTGCTCTTCTTCTTCTATGACTATATTTGAAATGCCAAGAGGTGTTTTCACTCGTTCCATATGGCCAGGTTTGGGTGACACAGGCCTCAAGTTATCCAAAAGTTCTGCAAATAACAACATAATATGAGATGTAAAAATTGTGCTGCTAAAATATCACTATCTATTATCTTTCTAAATGTTCCATACCCATGTGGAATAAAAGAAGGACTATCTTGTATGTACATACATATACACTTTTTTAAATAAACTATTAAAATATTTTGTATGTAAAACGTCACAGCTTCTATTACGTAATAAAATTCCTAAGTAACGATATGGAACTCGACGAGAACATGGAATGAATGCATAACGACGACATCCGTGCCCGATCTGACGTTACACCAACGTGCATCGCGTGCTTTCTGACAGCACACAGGTTATGTTTTATATACAGAACGACGCCATACTGGCTTCCGCAGTTTACATCGTGACGCCGATCAGCTGGCGCAACGTAATATATACATGTATACACCAAAAGCAACAAAAAGAAAACACTACATAAAAACTCTCAGGTAATAAAATTATAAAACTTCTTTTATGACCCGCGCGATTTCATGTTTTATTACAGTCGTATATTTAATTTAAAATTCTTATGTGATATTTCCTTGAAGGAAAGTATGGTGACCATGTGCTGCTTAATCCTTCATTAAAATCTCTCGTGTTGTTAAAAAAACATTAAACGCAATAATTAAATTATAATGACACTCAAAGGAAAATAAAAAAAGCTGACATTCATATACGTATTCAGAATAAATTGCCTGTCATTATAAAATCTACTTTTTCGACAGGCACGACACATTGTCAAAGAAAGAGATTTAAATAATTTTTCGGTTAGAGGATATAACCGAAAATTTTAAGGTACAAAGAGGCTCCCAATATACAGGATGCACGAGATACCTTAACTAGGTTAAATCACGTCTATCGATTAAACCATCTGTCAAAACAGAATCGAGTATGGTCACGAAGGAGGACAGAGAGAGAGTCGAATACATGGGTAGCAAAGTGAAACAGGAAAGATGAAGAGGAGACAGATGTGGACCTCTCGGAAAATCGATTCCAAAGTTCTCTTGTTATACGCACCATAATCACGTATAGCTGTGTAATATATGTATGTATATATAGTTACACCAGCGGCACCGTTTGCTTTGTACGAGTAAATCTAATCCTCGACCCTGTTCTATGATCTTCTTGACGCTGACTTGATTTTCACGCGGTACGTTTACACTAGTAATGGCGATACATTTGAACTGTATCGATATTTGGTATCGATACGTATTGGTACCCAGAGTATCGATACACATGTATATCGGGAGTAAAATATCGACATTATCGATATCGATACTTGCAACTAAATTATAAATAACAAAACCAAAAAAATGAAAATAAATACTAAGGCAGATTCTCAGGTAACGGTGTGGAAAAGAAATCGACGAATCGCAAACTATATAGGAAGCTGGTTGGCGCGATTGGTCCATTTTCTTTACGACCTGTTACGTTACGGCAAACGCAAGCGATTGTATCGAAATTTCGACAATTATGGGCTAAGTATTGATACTGGAATATATCGTCACATTAACATTAGAAGTACCGACGATAAATGCATATTTGCTTCGATCGGTGGATAAACGTGAAAAACTTTTGAAAATTTAGAAATTGACTAATTTCTTTACTTTCATATCGTAATAATAGGTGCAAAAGATCTGAGAAAATGTATTGTCATAACATTTTAATCGTCGTTGTAAGAGTGTATTGACAAGTCATTTTGACTTGTTTGGTAGTTCTAGTGTTAAATATCGATACAAAATATCGATATTTGAATTGAAAAGTATCGCCCATTACTATTCCACATCGAAATCCTAAACATTCCAATATCTTTGCACAACGCTGCGCGTGGCCAACAAGGATCCTAACTGGGTGAAGGTAACATAATAAATTCTTATGTGGACGTAAAAGTGTGTTACGCCACCGTCAGAATTCGCTGACGCCTTTATTGCGGAAAACTCTTGTGGTTCGGAAAATATTGTTGTGCATTATTACCGCGAGGTGTATACGCTTCTTGGCGGTTAGTGTAACGAGCAATAGCCGTCAGGCCTTATCTATCCGGTGTGTGTGTATGTGCAGTAGGACGCAGCCGTTAATATTCAACGCGACACTCAGCGGTCAGATACAATCGCGGGGACCCAAATTCATCTGGATATTTGGCCAGGTGAGTCAATCCGAATCACCTGAACGTATCCACGCCGCCCACTGTTGCATTATTTATAGGAGATGTGCTCACGAGCAGTCAATTTTCCTTTCGGCTTGTGGAGACCCCCCCAGGCGTAATAATACTGCCCAATACGGACACGTAATTGAGGATCATTGGAACGCGTGAATCGAACGATCATAAGTCAGACGGGATTGTGGGTGTCGGTGCAGAAATGTCAGAACCATGGAAACTTCGTGTCCGTGAACGAACTTCACTGAAGTTTGTTGAAACTTTTCGATGGCAGATTGTCGAAAGTTCGTGTTACTTGTGTATATTCAAAGAAGTTGCCTTGATGGGAATGAGTAATGCGGTGGAGTACTTTAAGCGAATGTACGGTTACATGCAAATACTGGAGCATTCGAAGCCCTGGAGTATTATTTGAATATTTCGAGAATATTCTACTAGATGGAGTACGCATTTATTGTGAGTACTCCAGTTGCTGGCACACTCAAGTGTTCTAAGCACTCGAATATCTTGGTACTCGAATGTCCTGGTACTTGAATTGCTCAAGTAGTTAAAGTATTCGAGGTACTCGAGTGCTTTCAGTACTAAAGTATTCAGGGTACTCGAGTGCCTCGTGTACACAAACATCCAAAGTACTCGGATACTTCAAGTACTAGAAATATATAAACAATTTGAGCAGTTAGAGGGTTTAAACACCTACACAATTCGAATGCACAGTGTATTCACGCGAAAAGTTGCACTTATATGCCCGATGTTATCGATAGCCAATAAAGGATCTATTATAGACTCCACCCACGCAATTGCGATACCGTATGCCAATCGTTGCAACACTACGGTTTCATTGTTGACGTTTGAAAAAATTATAGCCGCTCAAACACGTCAAAGTAGAGGGGGGCAGAAGGGGAGAGTGTACTGTTATTGCGAAGGAGGTGGCATTAGCTAAGGCATCAACAATAAATCCTTCGAATCTCACGCAACATTGGTAACAATTGCCGTCAGTCCGAGTTACGGCACTAAAATAGAAAGCCAATCGATCGGGACAACAAAATCGCAAGTGTACTCTAAATAAACGCGTTTTGCACCTTTTGTTTCTACAGAAAATCTTGTAAGGAAAGGGGATTTCCTAGTACACAAATCGTTCATTCTTCTTATTTCCTTTCTAGTATTAACTGATTCATTCAAATTTTTTAATTTCATCGTTAGCATTCAATTTTTTCGTTGTCTTGAAATCATCGAAAAGTTAACTGCAATCTCCATTTCGGAGTTGCAGCCATTTTTTTGAACCACATTACACGAAGTCTCGTTAGCAGAGGGGACACTCCGTATTTCGAATGTACAGTAAATCCTCGATGAGTATCCCAAGGTTCCTCGGCACTGAACATTAAATTTTTCAATTAAAAAATTTCTTCAAAACTCCTAGCTGCTGTGATAAACCTCATTAACTCGTTCGCTACCAGGGTCTTATGGGAAAAACGTCCACCACAACCCATGACTTTCTTCAGGATTATATGACATCAATTGAAATATTATTTTTAGAACATTCTAAAAAAGTAAAATAAACATTCTTCTTTTAAACTGGTACACATATGTGACGGCTGGTAGCGAACGAATTAAACAGTCAGTGTTACATTTGGGAATCTTTCCATGTCAGTAACGAGGAGCTGTCAAACACTCGTCGAGAATTTACTGTATATGTACGACGATCCTTCTTCGTTTTAGCAAACCTAATATCGAAACACCGTGGCTCGATATTAAGTGGATGACGTGATTTTGGTACGTCGAGACTAAAATTACCTTTTTCTTCGGGAGGTAGGTCATCCTGGGACTCGTGGTCGTGGCAAGGATCCGGGCTGGGCTCGTCGTCCGCGGTTCCGCCTCCCAGTCGACCTTCTCCTTTCGCCGGCACCCACAATTGCTGGCCGGGATAAATGAAGGTACTTCCGAGCCTGTTCAATTTGCTCAGCTCGGACGGCGTTGTGTCGAACCTCGCGGCGACCGACGTGAGCGTGTCCCTGTCGCCCACCTGTAACAAGAATACGAAGACACGAAATTAGTCGACCGGTTCCACGTAATTGCCGGGGAACACATTCGATCGTCCTCTATTCGAGACGAATCATAAACGGCCTTCGTGTTGGGGAATTTCAGAAAGACATTCCCAATCGCGCGATATAAGTACTATCGCTCATAAGTGTTAGGACACCTGGACTGTATGAAGAAGGATGTGATGTTTCATAAAGATGATATATTTATATTATTTATCTCTAACCAACCTTGAAGCATTATACTGATCGGAGTTGGTTAGAAACAGTTCAAGAAAAAAGTATCATCGCTCTCTTAATAATTTTTTAACAACAATTTGATAACTGAGACTTTCTGAAGGTCTCTTAGGAGGACGACCTTGACAACATACGTCATCGGTCATTTTATTTATCAATATTACTATAGTACGATACTAAACTTCTTTTAATAGTAACATTTTTACAAACAGCGACCCCCAACTAAAACCGTCACAATACTATTCAGGGTCGACATCGACAACATATTTAAAAAATTATCGAAACCGGAAGTGGCCCCCTTATTGCAAATATTTCCCCGTCGCATTAGATAGTGATACAAAATATCAACATTTGAATTGAAAAGTATCAATATTCGAAATATCGATAATATATCACTTATCACTAATGTACACTAACGTATAACTAGATTGAGGACCGTAGCAGGGTGAAATGATCCTCTCACTGTCAACTTGTGTCCAAATAATCGCGAGTCTGAGGTGTCGCCACTATCAGCAAAGAAAGTCCTGTCAGTCATTCCCTAGAGTAGCGTTTCTAGATCGAAAAACCGAGAGACACAGGGTGATCGGTGGTGAATTCAAAAGCAGTGTCGCTTAAATCGAGATTCCACTCGACACCGTCGGTTTCAGAGGCGTTCTCTGGTGCACATTCGAAGCGTCCGACTTTCACGCCTATTCCCGACGCCCAGCCACAGAGAGTGTGGTCAGCCCTAAATGCAAATCGCTGCTCGCCATGGAATAATAGATGTCTTTCTCTCTCTGACTGGATAGCCGGGGGAGTGGCGACGAAGAGGCGTCTGGGAATGGGCTACGAGGGGTTGATGGCGACGAGGAGGACCCACTCCAAAACCGGGCAAATATATCGGTGAAACGCAATTTCACGGACCGATGATAATGTAACGCCATAAGCCGTATCTTCCGGGTCAATCTGCAACCGATCATCTCCGATCGACCCGTTTCTGGGGCTAACAGGCTCCATATTCCTCGACAGACACGTGCACTTCGGGATTATTGCTACGTTCTATAGGTCTCCGAAGGTTTTTCATAGGTTCTCGTATAGTCTGTGGAGAATTTTTCGATTCGATCTGGTGTGATTGTGATCTAAGCAATGTTTGAAGTGTATACAGGGTGTCCCACATAACGGGGGCATCTTCTATATCTCATTTGTTCTCGAAGATACAAACGAATTTGAGGGAACAATGTTATTTGATTGGAAGGGGAAAACATTGTGATAAGGAAAAAATTTTGTGTAGATCGTATTTTTTGAAATTTTAAGATCATCGATGTTTTTTTAAATGGGACTACGTATTTTTATCAGCGTGGTGTATGAGTTGAGGTCAAGACCAATCCAAGGACCTATAATAGCGTGACTTTCATTTGACCAATGTAAATTTCGTCTAAAACACTATTTTATAACTTCAGTAATCCTAAAATAAAAAACCCGCAATCCATCATTTTGTCGAGATTAGTAGTTTTTAATGTTAACACACCGTATAAATATACATCCTCCGAAATGTCGACTGCGAAAAGTGTCGTAGTTTCTCTGCAAAAAATAGTCCCAAATGTTACAATGAAAATGGGCGTCTACATTAGAATACTTCCTTAAAAGATTGACTCTGTTGCCCCGTACAATCGTAAATATGTTTCTACGATGATCCCCTCGGGGCCATTCGACGGTTCGCATAATCCGGTAGAAATGGGCGTTGCAAGGGGATAGGTATTATATCGAGCAGCGGGAAAATAGAATTCCTTGAAAGAGGGCCTTGAGACCGGGGTCCATTCGCTGGCGCACTACGCCTATTATGCTAATCGACGTCCGATGACCTTTGAGGGAGCGTGCAATCGAACCATTAGCCGGCATTTTGTAACCGCTGTGTCGTTCACGACAGAATTTCTGATTAATACCAATGCTTCCCTTTGGGGACAGGTGTATCTGTCCTCGAGTATACGCTGGACACCAGTGTCCCGAACATACAGGGTGTAATAAAAATATTAGAGGACCGGGAAATGGGAGACTCGAAAGGTGATTTAAAACAAGTTTTTCCTTAGCAAAAATATTATTCGAGACTTTGTTAACGAGATATTAACGAAGAACCTTGACCAATTCGAGCGCGAATCTGTCAGCCGAGTTCCTGCGGTAACGTTGGCTACTAATCGCAGTAAGTATTGGTCCATTATACTGATTGGTCGGGATTTTTCGTTAATATCTTGTTAACAAAGCCTCGAATAACATTTTTGCTAAGGAAAATCGTGTTTCAAATCACATTTCCGGGTCCTCCAACATTCTTGTTACACCTTGTATATCTGTTGAACAAGTACAGTCGAAGAAGTTTTGGAGAATTGGTATGTCCAACCACGAAGGGGATCATTCGACTAGGTCAGGTGAATTAGGGTGTCGTCTTGCATCAGATTGTCCTAAGAGATGACCTAGGTCGTCTGGCTAGGACAAGGATCAGCCTACTGTAAAGTATCGTTGGCTTCATAGTTGATTGTACAAGTACACGACCTAGGTCGACTGGCTACAACGAGGATCAGCCTACTGTAAAGCATCGTCGGCTTTGTACTTGACTGCGCAAGTATATGACTTAGGTTGCGTCTTACTATGACGAGGATTAACCTACTGAAATGTCGAATATTTTCAGCTTTGTATCAAACGGGTAAGCCTGACCTACACTCCCGTCCATATGTCACGGAGACATTCTGTGCTACTGAACGTAGAATAGGAAGGAGTTCGATTTAAAAATTTAGTCAAATGATGAAATAAACGAATTCTTATTTATTTTTCACGGTGTAGAGAAAAATGTGAATTGCATATATTCCGTGTTATAAATAATAAGAGAAATCTGTTTAAGGTGTTTATTTGATTTAGGAATATTTATCTAAATGAATCGTGACATATTAGCAGTGAATTTTTTAATAGAATTCTCCCTTGATCTCCTTTTTTGCGTGTTATTGGTCTTAGAGATCACGACAGAAATTATTCGATTGCATTGAATTGGTTCGACTATGGATATTATTACAAAATTTACAGGTTATTATTATTTTGTAATTTTTATCAAATAACTGTGAAAGATTTTTGAGGTGCAGGGGAAACCGACGTTATTGCAATATATTAAATATAAGTTTAGAATCGTAGGATATAATAAATTTAACAGTAAGTTAGTCAATAGTAAAGAGAATAATTACATTATTTTCCAATAATTTTTCAGATTTTCTTAAAATCTTGAATCTTTTCTTAAATCTTCTACTTTTAGCTCCGGTCTCCCCTATTTGAGTAAGTAGCATTTTATAGTAAAAAGCAACGAGATATCTCGAGACTAAAAGATAGTACAAATTTTCAAAAAATACATTTTACCCCTTTTCATCCCTTCGAGAAATCTCACGTTTGCTCCACTGGTTATATGTTCCATTCGACAAATTTTACGTTTGTTAGTGCAGATAGTATTTACAGTAAACAAATGCATTGGAAAGCATGGTAAAACAGAGTTATCAACGAAAATTTCAACCAGGTTTCCTCACTCTCTTAATGAGCTGAAACTGCGGATATAATTACAGACGACTGTAATTAATCCGATGAAGGTTCATTAAACATGATTACGCAAATGCAGTTTAGACTAATGAGGGCATTATGATACAGTTACATGACAGAGTATTTTCGTAAAAACAACAAGAGTAAAAATATCGACGTTAATTGGTCCACCTTTCGTTAAACAGATCCATAGCATCATCTGTCCCTGAATCCAGGTCATAAATTTCTTGAATATTAATCATGATCGATGGTTAATGTCAGTTTTTGGATAATAAAATTTCTTGATCCGTTCACGAGATACGAACCATAATTACGCGAAGCCATGAGAAACGTTGGATGCCAGGAGAGAGAGCGTATTATCGAATACACGAACCACGAAAATGCGCGGCGAACAACCCTGAATATAAGAAGCTCTCAGAGAGGAAAGACGCAGAACGAAAGGCAGAGTCCGGCTACGTAAAAAGAAAAGATGAAAGAATCGGGACAGCGGGAGCTTTCGTGTGCGCGATCTTTTGTCGGGTGGGTGGCATTTCGCCCTCTCTAGACGGAAGGATCTGACCAGTGGTTCTCATTCGTTATGGCTGGCTTAAAAAAGTCAGGCACCGGCTGATCTCTGTTTTACATCATTTAATATAATCGTTCTATAATACTGTTACGTGTTACCCGATAGGTAGCACCTATTGTATAATGTTAAAGCGAGAGGCTTCAGGTTAGCGACGTCGTTTTGGTAACAACGCCAAAACAGAGACAGGGTAGAGTCGTGATACGACTGTAGAATAGAAAAGACGTGTTAAGATAAGTACTCCTCCTCTCCAAATAAATAATTCTTCCTTTTTATTAATATTGCCCTTATTTATTCGGAAGTCATGCCGCGTCCACGCAACAATGTAATAATAATAATAATCTTTATTTTTCAGCCTCAAGCCTAAGAAATTCAGTTGATTTACATTACCTAAATTTTACATCACTACTTTACCCTTATACTCCTCCCATGCACTCTTCACACTCATTCTTCTTACTAACACTATTTTACTAAGCTATTTTTCTATTACTATCACTTAATACTAGACACCCTGTATAGATGATATTTTACCAACTCTATCCCTCTTCCTTATTAATCTCGTAGCACTGAAAGCTAACGACAGAAACAATTGAGATTTTCTACATTTCATTTTATCTGACTCGTAATTAATCATGGTCT